TCTGCTTACGTGCGCCCTCGCTGACAAATAAATAAAATCTTAAAAAAAAAAAAAAAAAGACGTCAAACGGTTTGGTCCTTGCTGTGTTTTCTCTAAGTGAATCACAATAGCTCAAGACTATTCCTTATCAGTTGCCTATGATGGCAACCTACAAAGTATGCCTAACACACTTTGCTTCCCTTTATTGCCTAACTCTGAGCAACTCTTCTCAAGAAAGTGGTTGATGATGCTATAAGTCACAGGTATTCCATGCGGAGCCCACGGAGGGACAAGATGAAACCCAATCTGAGTATAAAATATAAAACTATGCTTTAAATTCCTTAAGAAATGAACAATGGATCTTGAATGATAGATCTTAGGTCACTCTGGGACATGTCAGACATACATAAAAAAATAAATGTACGGGGACCTGGGTGGCTCACTCAGTTGAGTGTCCAACTCTATTTCAGTTCAGGTCATGATCTCATGGGTCATGGGATTGAGCCCTGCACTGGACTCTGCACTCAGCTGGGAGTCTGCTTGAGATTCTCTCCCTCTGCCCCCACCATCCCCCTCAAATAAATATATCAAAATCTTTAAAAATAAATAAATGTAAAAGTCTCTCAATCTGGAAAGATACAAAGTACTGGCTCCTTTAGGATAGGTATGGCTAAACTCCCACATGAAAATATAGTAAAGGTCAGAATGGAAGAAAGAGTAGACATCTAGAAATTAGGTAGGACCGTATGGTAAGAATAATAAACATCTAATTAAAAGTCAATAAACAACAAAGTGTCCAAGTCACAGCTTGTTTCTCTTTATTTTCCTGGTCACCTGGTTAGAACTTGATTGGAATTCAGATTTCAGAATTCAGACAGATTTCCATCCCTTAATATGCAAGGGAATTTGCCTTTTAGTCTACAAGCAGCAAATGGAAAGAAAATCATTACATTTAGAATAACAGAATTTTAAAACAATGAAAAATGGCAGGGGGAATGACAACACTTAGAACAATGGAACAGTCAAAATTACCTATGACTGTCAAAACAGTCATAGGAGCTACATTTGAACCCAGTGAAGAGGGCGTGTCTATATTAAGGAACCAAAGCAACCGTTAACAGTTTGGGGAATTACAATAGTACTGGGCATCATTCTTCTGTTACTAATGCAATAGCAAAACAAGAGCAAAAAAGGAAATGAATGAAACAAGGACAACATGAAAGGAGGAAAAAAAAACCCACAAATGTGCCCCCCCCCTTTTCTTTTAGAGAGGGAGAAGGGGAGAGGGCAGGGTGAGTGGGAGAGGGAGAGGGAGAGAAAATCTCAAGCAGGCTCCACATGGAGGCTGTGCTCTGTGTGGAGACCAATATGGGGCTCCATCTCACAATCCTGGGATCATGACCTGAGCTGAAATCAAGAGTTGGATGCTTAGACTGAACCACCCAGGCACCCCAATGTTCCCTTTAAATAGGATTAACATTTCAGAAAAACATGTTGGATGAGAAGCACTGATCATGAAGAAAATTCTGAGAGGGAATGTAAAGAACAGAAGGACATCAAGATTACCTAGTAAAACTAAGATACTATAGAGAAACCTTGACAGAAATAAAGAAACATCAGGGAGGGCACAAAAAGAGCACCTGTAAAGAGAGAAACAGAGTTCCAAAGGGACTGATTTTGAGGGAGGGGCAAAAGGAGACAGACCTAAGACTTGAGAGTAGGAAAGGCACTGAAAGTAAATTTGCTGGTTATATACGGATAAACAAAACTTACAAAAGAGTATAAAGTGAGCCTATGGATTTTTAAAATCTAGAAAAATATACACCAAACTTCTTCACTCAAAATTCTATGTGCTGAACCTTTCTGGAGAAAGTCCTAAAATCAATGCTCAGCAATCTCTAATTCCCTATGACATTCTTCTACAGTAGCAAGACCAAATCATCTGCATACTCAAGCCCTCAACTCTTAACACATGACCTTATTCCTCCTTATGAATATACTGAAGCCATGAATGAGAGTTCCAGTCCAAATTCATTCAACTAATTGCTGACAAACCCCCACTGATTCTACTTATGTGTTTTTATTTATTTATTATTTATGGATTATTACCCACAACTGACTCCCTTTTCTACTTTAAGCCTTATCTCATCTAGAAAATAAGGATAGTCTAAACATTTTCTCGGTCTCCATTCTCTTCTAATTTCAATTTATCTTACTCAACCCTCCAAGATAAAATTGACCTCTAAATTTTATTACTCTCTGCTTTACTTCCTCAGCCAAATATTAAAACAATCCATAACATGATCCAAACCAACCTTTCCCATTCATCTTCTAAAACGGATTATTTCTCCCACGCAAGTCAAATTCCTTAACACTTTCACAAACATACCACGCACACGTTCCCTTCACTCCTTCCCCCTTAGAGCTACTACCTGGGCACTTTCTCCCTGCTTGCCTTTCAATATTTCATCTATCAAAATCATCCTAGAGGGCAATCTGCAGTACACCTAAGTGTTTTAAAACATGCAATGCAATAAGCAAGGCAATTCCACTTTATATGATTTTCGGGATGCCTGGGTGACTTAGTTAAGTGCCCTCAGCTCAGATCATGATCCCAGGGTCCTGGGATCGAGTCCCGCATTGGGCTCCCTGCTCACTGGAGATCCTGCTTCTCCCTCTGTCTGCCACTCCCCCTGCTTGTGCTCTTTCTCTGACAAAATCTTCAAAAAAATAAACATGATTTTTTCTTGAGTCTTCCCATGTATTCTCAAATTTTTACCACATGCCTGAAACTCCTATTGAGTTTTAAAGTATTATCCAGGCAATTCTACAATCCAAGGGCATTCTACACCATTGTATTCATGTACGTATCCATTTCTTAGGAGAAAAGTTATAGTATTTGGAGTGCACAAGAGATAATAGTTTAGCATTACTGAAGCAAAAAATAAGCAGGCAATGACAAAAAAATGAAATTATAGATCAAGTCATAGAAAGAAGCCTTATATGGGGCACCTGTGTGGCTCAGTCGGTTAAGCATCTGCCTTTAGGTCATGATCCTAGGGTCCTGGGATCAAGCCCCACCTCTGTTTCTCCCTTTCCCTCTGCCCCTCCCCCAGCTCATGCTCACAGGCACGCTCAAATAGTCTTCAAAAAAACAAAAAAAGGAAACCTTATATGGCACACTGGTGAAGTTATTTGGTCTTGGCATTATTCCACAGATGATGAAAAATCACTCAAGAGTTTGAAACAAAAGGAAGATATGTTCTTATTTTCATTTTAGTTTACACAGAGTAGTTTGAAGAACAGACAAGGTGGTGGGGGACGCAAGAATGAAAACAGGGAAGACAAGTGACCTATTGCAATAGTCTTGGAAAGAGATGAGGGCATAAAATTAGGGCATTGATATTACACAAAAATACATAGGCAAGAAAATGGACAGAATTGGTGTTTGACTAGATTTGAAGGGAAAGTCAGTAGCTTTTGCATTAGGCAATAGGCCATTAACTAAAAATAAAAAAAAAAAGGCAGTTTGAAGGAAAAAGGTAAACATTCATCTTGAAATACAATTCATCATCCTACATACCTACATATGCAAAGACATCCCACTGCCCAAAATAAAAACCTACATTTTAGCCTACAACTGAAGGCATCCATGGACAGTCTGAGGCTTAATTCCAACATTATCTCCCTCCACTTCCCTAAATGAAGCTTATGTTCTAGTCAAAGTAACTTGTATCCATTAACATTCTCACCTCTGTGCCTTAGCTTATACCACTTTCCTGCCAGAAATGCGCCTTCCTTGCCTCAATCTCATTTCCCTGCTCTACTCTTCTGACCCATTCTTACACAAAACACCAATTCTAAGTTTAACTTGATACCCATATCTCACATAAAATTGTACGGATTTCATAAAAATGTTTACCATGAATGTATCTCCATTTTGGAATTTGACTTAAACAGTAAGTAAAAAGTAACTCCTCTAACAGGCAAAATCAAGGAAGAAGGGATTCAAAAAGGAAATGAAATGTCATTAGATGCCGAAACTTTATTTGTCCAATAGTTTTTCGGCCCTCCTCACTCTAAAAGGCTTTCACTCCTACATACCTTCAATGTGCCTAATTCTAGCAGCTATTCTTATTTCTACTTTATTGTTTAACCTATACATACCAGACAAAATCATATCTAAAACTTATTCTGAGGGAGAATCTAGAGGAACCCAGGAGAAAAGTTTCATTATTTGGAGATTTATGACATTTTAGCTGTTCAAAGAACACCTTTTAATTTTATTTAAGTAACCTTTTGAGCCCAATCTGGGGCTCAAACTCACGAACCCAAGATCAAGAGTCGCATATTCTTCCAACTGAGTCAGCTAGGCAGGCGCCCCAAGGACACTCTTATGTTTTATTCTCCACTACATTCTGAAGAGTTGAAATTGCCAGAAAATCTCTAGCACAGTGAAGCACCACCATAATGATCACCTCAATGTAATTCTCAGGCAAATATTATACAAAATGACTGGCAAAATGTAAAAACTGGGATTCTTGCCATCAGAGAGTTACTATTTAGTCATGTAAAACAGAAGACTCTTAAAAAAGCGTAAGACAATATGAGCAATATTTAAGCAATGAAAGACAAGAGAATAACATGGCTGTAGAGTTGTATAAAATTATAAATGACTGAAGAGACAATAAATGATATAGCAACTCAAAAGATCTTTTTTCAAGTAAGGAATGGAGAAAATGGAAGGAAAAAAAAAAAAGGTTCCAAAAAAGGTTTCACAGACCTTGAGTGACACAGAACCTTTTGATCAAAGAGAGGCAAGTCTGGTGAAGTTCTCAATATTTGTTGTATACTACCCTGCACTGTTAAATATTTCATGTTTACAAAACATTTAGGTTTACAAACATAAAAAGGACGCTTAATGCAGAGTAAAGACAAGACTAATACAAGCTACTTATCAACCTGCTTAAAAAAAAAGAGAAAGTACCTACATGGAAGAAGTATGCAAAAAAAGTTCTTACCTTGAATATACCAACCCAATCTTTTGGATGTGGATGTATATATGCAGTTAAGGTGTAATGACATTCCAGGTGTGCATTAGGAAGATAACTCTTGGCCACATTTTGAAAGATGACATGGGCAAAGTTGGAAGTCTGCAAGGGGACTTCTTGAAAGGATGTCATTGTGAATCTGAAACAAGCAAATCATAGAAGTTGAATGATACCAACTAACAAAAGACTTATACCTCAGAAAATACGTAACACTGAATGCAAATTACATGAACATTTGTATGCCATAATTATTGAGAAGATACATACTTGGCATTCCTCCTTAAAAACGTTTAAATATAAAAATCCACACAAACTGGGAAATAACAATTTCCAAAATGGCTCAGAAAGTCACATGGGGATTAAAAAATTTAAAAACCAAGATTCTCTCTCCCCTCTGCCCCTCCCCCACCACGCTCACACCTGCACACTCTAAATAATAAAATCTTTAAAAAAAAATCTGCAAGACACAATTGTTTTCCATATTTTGTGCTCTACTTTTGAGAAAAAGGATACAACTGAGGATTTACTCAAAAAAACTATACAGTATCACACAAACTCAGTACAAGTACTGATTACTGATTCTACACTACACATAAAAAACTATGACACTGTCCCTCTGGTACCTGCTTCTAAGTCATCACGAAAATCTCTGTGATGGGAAAACCCGGGCAAGATTTTTGCTAACCAAATTAATCTAATTTACTTCACAAATCAATAAAGTCTCTACAGGGCAAGCACAGCAGTTAGTCTCTGCTCATGTTTTAACTATTAAGGAAGTCTTTATTGCTAAGAAGATCTAAGACAACATGCTTTCACAGTGTTTCTTTTGCTGACCTGTTCGAAATACTAAGGTAAATTTTTAGTTTCAAAATAATAAACACTTCAGAAAATACCCACTTTTCTTCTTGCATCTTCTCTACTTCTGTTAAAGTACTGCTTTACTGAAACAATATTCTGGACATCTCATAAAGAGACCATCAATGGTGGACCTGGAAGCCACTGTGGTGGAATACCAGCCTGGTTGTCCGTTAGCCGCTCCCAAACCTGAGCTTTGCTAGGATTCCAAGGAGAGTGCATTCAGTAGCAATCCTCCTACACCTCTGCACTAACAAAATGGCTTAACTACCAGCAGCCCTATTTCACAGAAGGATTTAACTATCACTACATTTAACTATGCCAAAGCCTTCAATAAAATGAAAAGATAACATTTACTTACAAACACTGAGACTCTTCCTAAAATAAATGAAGAGTTTTATTACTTTTTCTTTGAATTGTCTGAGCTACTTTGGGCTCATGGGGATGTCATGAACTAATAAAGTCACTAATGATAATCTCTTTTCAAGTCAATGGCTTCATAAAGAAGGAAAAAATAACCGACTGATTCCAGTTTTGAAAAACCATTCACTAATGGTTACACCAGTTAAGAGAAACAATAGCTAAATCAATGAAACCAACATCTAGCAGATCCAACTACCAAAACTGAGGAAAGTGAATTAGTAATATTTTTCTCCAAAGAAAATGATTTAGGTTTCTCTGAGGAAAACATTTGGTAAGGAGAAACTAAGGCTAGCTTAGAATGAGCTGCCAATGTTTTTAATTAAAAGTAATTTAAAAATAAAACTTTTTCTTAAAACTTGACATGTTTCCTAAAGTAAACTAAATCAACAAAGCTGTAATTATGTTTTATGTCAGTGCAGTTTAAACTTTTGTTTAACCTCAACTACACAATGTTTTAAAAATCCATAATTCGGGTGCCTGGGTGGCTCAGTCGGTTAAGCATCTGCCTTCAGCTCAGGTCATGATCCCAGGTCCTGGGATCAAGTCCCACGTTGGGCTCCCAAGTCAAGAGGGAGTCTGCTTCTCCCTCTGCCTCTGCCGCCCGCTCTACTTGTGCTCTGTCAAATAAAATCTTTTTAAAAAAAATAAAATAAAAATCCATAATCTAACCTTACACTTTCAGTTGACTGAAAAGTTAAAGTAGAAAAATAGGAAGGTATACATCTATGTATTTATGTATGAGGGATATGTGTGAAGACTTTTAACCTAATTGTTTACCCATACATATAAACGCATTTTCATTTTAAATAAACATATTAACATGAAATTTCATTTTTAAAACTTCCCCCCAAAATTCAAGTTTTTAATAGAACATCCTAACATCAGACTTTAAATATACTCAAGGTTACAAATCTTAAGCACAACATAATTTGTGATCATCCTACTAACCTTTATTAATCTCCCTCCAACACTTGAAACTTTTTAAAAATTTCAGTGAAATTTAACTACAGAAATGTTTTACAAGTCATTCCACTCTCATTACTAGTTTTTTAAACTTTTTTAAAAATTAAATTCCAATATAGCTTCTAGTTATTAAGAAGTTAACAAGGGTAAATGTAATCTCAATGTAATTACCACATATATCAACCCATTTTAAATAGTGAAACAAAATTTCCCATATAATTCCTGTTTCACTACTCAGATAAAATGAATGAAAAAGGGAAACATAAAAATGCTGAAATTCACTGAGAATGTCAATTTATCAAGATGATTCAGACATTTATACAATATCGCATGTGCACACACACACACACACACACGACACACACATACAGGACACACACAGCCCAGTGGGGAAGTAATGTGCAAAGTCACTGCATCACCTTGTGGTAATGCTTGGGAAGTGTAGCTTCACTAACATCCTAAGAACCAACTGCACCTCAGCTGGAGAGGAAACACAGCCCCCCTACACAAAAAGGAAGTGCAATCAGCTGTACTATACCAAATTTTGCTTCCCATTCTCTGAAGTACATCTCCAGAAACATGGGTACATTAGGATGCAAGCCAAGGCTAAGCAAAAATTTTCCACTCAAGAATTAAAGAACCAAACACATTTCAGCTGAGAAACAAAATCTGAAATGCATATACATGATGCCTCCAGTGGCTTCTTCCATGTATCCTACTGTATTTCCACAAAGGTCCAACATGTCTAGAGTTCCTTTGCATGTGCTACGCTGTAAACTTTATACTATAAAATCTTTGGTCTAAAATCCAATTCTGTTATTTGGGGGGTTCATCAATATCTAAGGAAAAGATAATGTGCAGTGGGCACTTAAGTAGCTAAAATAAACGGGGGTGCGGAAGGTGGAAGCACTTTGTTATCTTTATTTCTTCCTCCTGGAACTTTCTCAAGCCCAAAACAAATAAGGCTTTTGTGGTAGTATCCTTCCAGTGGCTTCTGATACTCATTTTATTGGACCAGCCCAAAAATGTAAGCCTTAGTCAACTAAACTAGAAAATATACATACTAATTTTGTTCTGTGTCATGTGACTGTGGTGGCTGTATTTTTTTTTTTTTCTTCAAAGTCCTTATGAAGTTAAAGATGCTAAACTAATGGTAAGGGAAATATCCTGATATCCAGGATTTGCTTTAAAAACTCCCAGGGAAAAAAATGTACTGGGGGAGGTAATAAAACAAGTTTAGTAAAATGGTAGTTCCTTTTACTATTTGTTCTCCTTTTGTGTATGTTTATAAGTAAAGATTAGTAATAAAAACTCCACATATGACCTACCACAATAGGAACACATGTAATGTAGGGCATGGCAAACTTAGCAAAAAGTTTTTAAAATCTTCAGTTAAAAGTACATGAACATTTAAAATTATCTCTAAACTTCAGTCTCATAGGGCACACAAATATCTGAAGGAAAAACTGACATTCTAATAGTTTGATTATTCATACTTTAACTCAAAGACTATCAGCTGGTTTATAGGGCAGAAAAATGTTATCTGCAATCTTTCTGGAAGGCAGAAGCAAAGCCAACAATCCGTTAATTAGCACTCTTAAAAACATCCCTTATATCTAGAATTCTTCACAACTGAGTGCCACTACACTCTACCCAGATGTTACTAATACCACTTTTATTTATTCTGTAGATTGTTTTAAAAGGTGCTTTCTAAAAAGCTGTAACTTGGCCCATATAATGAGGGAATTTTTATCTTTTTGTAAGAGTTTATTGGGGCCAAAATACACTTTAAAAAGCCAGAAGAGGATACACCCAATATTTTACTTACGGTAATATCAAAATTCCAAAAGAATAAAATCCAATAAATTTCACATATGTATTCCCCAAAATACTCCCCCAAAGAAGTACATGAACATCGTTAGGATGTTTCATAGTTAACATTAAATGGCTGCAGCCATAACCATAAACAGAGGTATGCAACAATGTGAAGACGAGAAAACTACAATAGGATGTCCCCTGAAGCTGCAAAAAAATAAATAAAAAAAAAAAGGACCTAATAAGTCATTTCTAACGTAATCAAGTAATTCTTCAAGAGATCGAGCCCACTCTAGATAACAAAACAAAGGCTTGGCCTCAGCCTTCTCTATACATGAATTGTACTGTGAGGGGCAATCAGCCCCCTTTTATATTAACATGTTATTCAAATATCTCTTTAAATGCTTTGGAACTGAGCACCAAAACTATAGTTAGTGCTCAGTCCGCGCTCAGTCTGTAAAAATTTTACAATGAGCGTAAAGCAGAATTGAAAAGTTAAAACTTTCCCATCTAAATCCGTGTCATAATAGCAATTCGTCACTAAATTGTGATGCCTAAAACGTAATATATGTAGAAAGTCAAATGCCACAGTGTTTTCAAACGAAACTATTATAGAAAAGGTAATATAGGTGTATCAACAGTCACACACAACCCCACCCCCACACATGTCAAACAAAGATTGCCCCAGACGATGAGCGCTGGTCCGGACTAGCCCACAACTTGCAGACCTGCCGGGTGCTGGGTGGGGGAAAGAGAGTTGTGAAATCAAGAAAAGCTGCCTAAGCAAAGGAAGACGTGACTCCTAAGAGATCCCTCCGAACACTAAACGTAGGGGCTATCTACAAACACACCAAGAAAAGCGTTTGCTAGACCTGTAGCCCAGGTGAAGTACGCGATCCGACAACCCTCAGCTAACTCCGCCCCCGGCCCCCAGACGTAGGCGGCGCAGTGAGTCTCCGCCTCTTTCTCCACAGACGACACAAGCCAAAACACCTGAGTTTCACCCCACCCGGGCAAACCCGAGCCTCAGACTCGACCTGTTTTCCGAAGCTGACCCACGCCAGGAGCACACATACTGCCCTCAAAACACACCCTAAAATTGGGCATCGAGGAAGACAGGTTCTTCTTCAGGGGTCCCCCGCGTCATTCGCCCCCGCCAAAGTGCCCACGTCCCACACAGCTCCCCCAAACAGCGAAGGCCTATCCCGGGGCCTCCCCGCCCTGTGGGGCGGCCACCCGTCGTTTTTCCCAGCCCCACCGCTAACCGAAGTTGCCCCCACCCCCGTCACAATCGTAGTCCAGGAGGAAAAGTTTGTCCTCGGGAAGGAAAGCATCGTCATTTAGCTGCATCGTCACTAGATCATTCCCGAGACTGGCCAGGCCCCTAGATTCTTAAGAGCTGAGGAGCTAATCACGAACCCCCAAAGAGCTCCAGCTGGGGACCGCCCCGCAAAAGGTGCTGGAGCCGGCCGGGGAAGACGCTTACCCAGCGAGGGGCTCCGGGACAGAGGGAACGTTAGAGAGGTTTCCGAGCTTGTGCCGCCATCAGCCGCCGAACCTCTTCCGCCACCACAACCACCCTCCCGGCCAGCTCCACCTCCCATCAGGGCCAAAAAGCCGGCGTTGCGTCACTTCCCGCTGCGGGCCCGCCCCTTCCGCCGCCACTGCTGCAGCCCCCGCGCGGAGTGGGCCCTGCCCCTCGGCTGAAACACAGCGTCCGCCCCTGTGGCTTTTCCAAAACCTACCCCGCCTGCGGAGCCAAACACGTACAGGCCGGCCTTTTACCTCCGGTTTGGCCTTGCGGTAATTCGTCACAGACCTGGTCAAGCAGGGCCCCTTTGGATTTGCATTTTGCATTTTTAAATTTTTACTTTAACCGGAAAGTTAGGTAACAAGTTAGGTTGGAAGGGTCGTCCAAAGGTATATGGACTATTACCATGTCATTGCCTGGATCTTAAAAATCTAAGTGAATTTATTTATTTTATACATCAGAAAGTAGGGAAACGATAGAAATAAAGGAGCAACCACATGGTTAGGGCTGCAACCCCTAACTCCAAGGCTTTTAACCAACTCCTGGTCCAGTCCTGTGCTTGTTTAACTGTGAGATTTTGTTCACTAGAATACCTCAGTTCTAGGAGTGTTCCAGTTCCAATGCTCTATGATTCTATTTCCTCTTGCTCCAGCAGTGGCCTCTTTCTGCCCGCACTTCTATGAGTGATTACCTGCTTTTCTTATCTGAGTTCTTTTGTGTGTGTCAATTTTGTCCTGTATTCTCCGTTCAACTATATTTTCTAAAATCACTTCGGACTCTTAACGTGTCTTACCTTCCTATAGTAGGCATTCAGGTTGCATCTTAAATCCACAGAAGCAAGTGTATTCTGTTCTAACGCATCATATTCCTGTGTTTCTATGAAACCCTTATAAAATCTTCAGCATCCCCAGTAGAGAAAGGATAATTAGATCACATTAATCGCCCTAAATACAGAACATACAAAATCTCATATTCTTTCATTTTTACTTCCGCATATTTAAGATTACAATCCCTTCTGTAATACAGGATCTCAGTGTTAGCTGATTTGTTTCCTACATATTGAAATCTTTGAACTTAGTTCTGTTCTGTATAGCATACTTGATGGTAGAATTTCAGGAGAACTTTACAGTTCATTTAGTACCAACCTCCTTATTTTACAGATGATGAAAATGGTGTGATAATATCAGTAATCACTAATGTTACTAGTAGCAGTCTTCTAGTAGTGGAAATATCTGTGTCCCTTAAGAAATGTAAATATAGTAGTGAACTTTATAAGCACAATTTTTCAGAGGTGTCACTCTGTGTGTTTTAACCATATTATTTATGTACATGTAATAAATCTCTAATTGCCACGAATTTTCAGTTAATGAAATCAGAAAAACAATATGCTTAATAAAGCCATAATTGGAAAATATTTTTGTGCAAGTATTTTTACTTTATTTTGTTATTTTTGATAATATCTTGAATTCTCAGACCTTATTTTCCCCATGCACGTATTTGTTTAGGAACTTGCTTTAATCCATTTAGTAAAGATCTCTTGAATTTTCAGACTATGTTTCTCCCAGGAGATAAATATATATCCTTTCAGTATTTAATTGTATTCTTTGAAATTTGCCCTTTGTATGTATAGCAGTGTACCAAGGCCATAAAGGATATGGATCTGCACATAAAACCTTTGGGCCAAATGGATTTCAGAATTAAGAATTTTTTAGACTTTAGAAAAGTGTACTTACTTTATGTTACATGACATCCCACAAGGTCTATAGCAGCACTTCATAATCAAGTTAACATTTTTTGAGAAAAATTATGACTATCACACTGCTAAGTGGGATAAACAAAGCATACAGTCTTACTTCAGTTCAGATCAGGTTTTTCAGATAAGGTTTTGCCACTTTGCTACCATGGGTTTAGGTCAAGTTTTACTGACAAATGAGTTCAGGTCAAGATAGGTTTTGCCACCAAATGTTAAGAAAACATTTTACTTTCAAAGTTTTTTGGATTCAAAATAGTGAATAAGGGACTGTAGCCCTGTTAAAAGAACTGTTGGAAAGTAAATCCCTCAGTATCCCATGATATTTCTGGAACAATTAAAATTTCAAGTAGTTTCCGGATGCCTGGGTGGCTCAGTTGGTTAACCATCTGCCTTCGGCTTAGTCATGATTCAAGGGTCATGGGATGAGTCCTGCATCCCGCTCCTTGCCCAGCAGGGAGCCTGCTTCTCTCTGCCGCCACTCCCCCTGCTTGTGCTTGCACACTCTCTCTCTTTCTGACAAATAAATAAAATTTTTTTTAAAATAATAAAATACATTTTAAAAAAAACAATTTCAAGTAGTTTCTAGATAGTTGTCCTAATCTATCACATACCACCTATCCCATGTTTTGACTGAGCAAATACCTAAAAGACACCATTCCTATTAGAAGAGCATATGATAACAAAGGGAAGAAAATAAATGAATCTATGAAAATATGGGTGACTAAAATATATACTATAAAAATTAAAATGAAGTATAAAATAAGATATTCAGAGATGAGAGAACTCAGTATAGGCTTTCGTGAATAGTATACTTTTCTTGGAGGAGGTAGGCCTATTCTGTTAAAGTTAAGTAGGGTTTTGATGAGGAGATGGAAGGAAGAAGACTCCAAGTCAGGATGTAAGAGCTTGGGCAAAGAAGTCTGGTAGGGAGAAGATCCTGAACAAAAAATAATTCCCATCTGTGGAGTACTCAGTGCTTGCCAGACACTCTGCTGGATACTTAGGTTGCCTGCACTCCTCACAACACCCCTGTAAGGTATCACCCCATTTTTCAGGGGAATGTGGGTTCAGAAAAGTTAAACACCTTGCCCATGATCATGAAAAGGGCAAACTAGACTTGCACTCAAATCTATGACTCCCAAAATGCAGGCATCTCCTACCATGCCATGCTGTTTCTTGATAAGTGCCTTTTGATCATATATTATGTCCTCTGGGTTATGCCGGGTGCTCTGAGAAAATAGAATAAACCATGGTAGGAAATAGAGGAGTAAAGGAGAAAGAAGGATTGATACAGAATAATTAATTTTGAATTAGCAAGACTCCATTAAAGAAACTGAAGTAGGCTTTGAAAGATGAACAGGGGGCTCCTGGGTGGCTCAGTCAGTTAAGCATCTGCCTTTGGTTCAGGTCATGATCCCAGGGTCTTGGATCGAGCCCTGTGTTGGGCTCCCTGCTTGGTGAGGAGCCTGCTTCTCCCTTTCCCTCTGCCACTTCCCCTGCTTGTGCATGCTTTCTCTGTCAAATAAATAAATAAAATCTTTTAAAAAAAAAGTTGAACAGGATCTGAAAAGGAAGAGAAAGGGCTTATGTGGAAAGAATGATTAACAGGGCACAAATTTGACAAATAGGTGGTACAACGTGGGCTGAAAATTAGAAAAACTAAGTTCAAATAGACATGTTATGGAAATGCCATTACAGGTTTTGAAAGCCAGACAAAATAAATTATTTTCATCTTTTGATTTTCCTTAGACTTTGTATTAAAGATTCCCTTTGCCAGAAATGATTCTTTCCTTAAAAATTAATACATCTATAAACCTTTATTTTATAAAGAGAATGAATAATGGTAGGTTTTGGTTAGAGAGAGATTCAAAACACTCTATGGTTATTTTCTCTTACTCTATATTGGGAGATGGTGTCGATGTAGTCTTTGCCCATATTGCCTCTTCTCTGCTACTCTCCCAGATGTTTGTAAGCAACTTTGCTCCTTTGGAGTGCATACCAATCAGTTACTACCTGATCTTCTGTCCTCGTTACTATCCTTTGCTGGTCTCCAAGTCATTCTTCCTCATTCTCTGAAGAATATCACCTAGAGCAGTCTTCCTCTCTATTCCAAGCCCTTCAGTATCTCCTTGGATGAGATTAAAATTAGAAGGCCACCATGCTGGCCTTCTAATTTCTTGAACCCCTTCATCTCAAATAACTTCCTCCACTCCACTCCACATACCTATTTCCATGTTCATACCTTGGACCTTGTCACCACCCATAACTGCTTCACCTTTAAAAATTAAGCATTCTGCTCTTTGACAACAACCTTTTATTCTTCTGACTTGCTTATTCAAATGTGCCCACTATAACTATTTCTCAAACCCATCGGGATCTCTAATCCACTCAGCTTTCTCCTTTTAATACTTCCCTTATTATCCAACTCTGAGTCCATGGACTCTCATGTCATTAACATTATATCCAATATCCTATACAATACTTTGATTTTCTATCTTGCAGATTAAGTGCAATGTCCTATAACAAATGTGTTACAGACTCTGTAATTAATCATCATATGCTTTACAACTAAAGGTTATGACTGGGAATACTAAGCAAAAACTTTGACATTAAAACTAAGTGTTTTGGGACTCAAGTGTCAATGGATAGATGAATGAATGAGGAAGATGTGGCATATACATACGATTACTCAGCCATCAAAAAGGATGAGAGCTTGCCATTTGTGACCACCATGGATGGATGGACCTAGAGGATATTGTGCCAAGTGAAGTAAGCCAGAGAAAAACAAATAAAATATGACTTTGCTTATAGGTGGAATCTAAAAAAAAACCTACCACCAACAAAATTAATAAACAAACAAAAAGCAGAAACAGACACATAAATACAGAGAACAAACTGACGGTTGACAAAGGGGCTTGGGGTAGGAGGATGAACAAAATGGGTGAAAGGAAGTGGGAGATACAGTTATGGAATGAATAAGTCACTAGGATGAAAGGTACAGCATAGGGAATGTAGTCAATGGTACTGTAATAGCATTCTATGGTGACAGATGGTAGCAATGCTTATGAGCACAGCATAATGTATAAACTTGTCAAATCACTATGCTGTACACCTGAAACTAATGTAACATTGTGTGTCAACTATATTTCAATAAATACATACATACATATTTGAAAAAAAACACACACAACTTTAAAAATTAAGCTAAGCACCTAAAACTGCCTTAGCATTTTTTAGGTATGACATTGTAACCTTTATAGCATTATCATTCTCAAAATTTCTTGAGAATTATTTTGTAAATGATTATACTTAGAATTTATT